CCCCCCCCCCCCCCCGCCCCGTTCCAGGGAGCGGCCTGTCACGGGGAATGAAGGCACAAGAACAGCAGCCGGTAGTTCCTGTGGCAAAAGGGACCTCACGTTTCACCCGCTAGAAGCGCGTTCAGTCCACAACAGCCACGGGAAGTGGGCGAGCATGACAGCAGGTGCGTGTGGGGAGGAAGTGACGCGGCTGCCGAGCCAGCTCGCCCCGGGGGAGGGGGAGGGGGTCCTGGCTGTCACCCCTGTGACCGTGGACAAGCCGCTGGGCGCGGTGGGGCTAACCTCGTTCCACGGAGAAGGCGATGAAAGCTACTGCGCAGTCCACGTAAACAGTTACGTTTGCTCGGGACGAGCTTCGTTGGCAGGAACGCGCCACCGGCCCAGCCTGTCAGATGCTGACTGCCTGTGGGGTGATCACTCCTGTGCTCACAGTGTCATCTCTCACGGAATCCCTTTAAAAGGCCACTACTCCATTTTATTTTATTTTTAATTTTTTTAAATGTATTTTTATTGATTTCAGAGAGGAAGGGAGAGGGAGAGAGAGAAACATCAATGATGAGAGAATCACTGACCGGCTGCCTCCTGCACACCCCACACTGGGGATCGAGCCTGCAACCTGGGCCTGTGCCCTGACCAGGAATCGAACCCTGACCTCCTGGTTCATAGGTTGACGCTCAGCCACTGAGCCACGCCGGCCGAGCCACCGATGCATTTTATGTACAACTTGCTATAGAGAATAATGACCCCAGGGAATGTATGTGCCTTTACAGCAGCGGTTCTCAACCTTCTGGCTCTTTAAATACAGTTCCTCATGTTGTGACCCAACCATAACATTATTTTCGTTGCTACTTCATCACTGTCATGTTGCTGCTGTTATGAATCGTCATGTAAATATCTGATATGCAGATGGTCTCAGGCGACCCCTGCGAAAGGGTCGTTCGACCGCCAAAGGGGTTGTGACTCACCGGTTGAGAACCGCTGCTTTATAGAGTAACATGTTTCATGCACATGCCACCCACAGCGGTCACGCATGTGCACCTGGAGTGGGGACATGTCTGTTCTGAGCAGAGGGTTACACTGAAAGCATCTCAGTCGCCAAGCACTTAAAGCAGTTTTAGGAAGACCTTCTGCGCCTCTACCCATTTACATCTCAGAGCCTCTGTTCGCACTGGGAGACCCGTCACCTGCCGCCAGCAAAGGCCTGCGACTCGCTGTGCTCCGTGGGGATCCCCTGGTCGTTAATGTATTCGTGTTTCCCAGAAACGCTGCTGCGCCTCTGCTGGGGGCCGGGCACCCGCAGGCACGGCCCAGACGTGGAGCCCCTGACGCACACACCGCAGCCGGTGGACTCCGCCCCGATCAGGGGGCTTCTCCCGACAGAGGCCAGTGTTGCCGTGGCCCCCGAGGCTGAGGCTGTGGCCGGCCCACAGGGCTGCACGCTGTGATGTCTGCCTTTCAGAGGTGGAGCTGCCCCGTGAGGCGGCCCGGCACTGCCCGCGCTGCGTCCCCACGGCTGCCTGTCTCGCTCGTGGCGGGCTGGCAATTAGGGTGCACTTTCTCCCCCTCTTCCCTCCCTCCCCCGGGACCAGGACCACACCTGCCTCCAGGGGGCCTGCCTGCTGCGACCTCTCCATACAGGAGGGATCTCCAAACACTCAGCCCCTGGCCTAGTGTGGCCTCTCCCAGCCTCGTGGTTTCGCCCCAGAGTAAGTAACCTGCAGGGAGGCCACAGCCGGCTCCTGACGGATCACGGATCACGGATCACGGGTCACGGATCACGGGTCATGGGTCACGGGTCACGGATCACAGGTCACAGACACACGGCCCTCTCCAGCGAATGTGAAAATCGAGCTGTTTCAGGAAGGTCCTGGCCTCGCCCCACAGTAAGAAAACGCAATAAGCCTTCGGAGCCATTTAAGGCAGTGGTCGGCAAACTCATTAGCCAACAGAGTCAAATACCAACAGTACAACGAATGAAATTTCTTTTGAGAGCCAAATTTTTTAAACTTAAACTATATAGGCAGGTACATTGTTATTAGCTTAATTAGGGCACTCCTAAGGCTTAGGAAGCGCCACACTCAAGGGGACAAAGAGCCACATGTGGCTCGCGAGCCGCAGTTTGCCGACCATGGATTTAATGGACAGACCCCGACTCTGAATTACTCAAATCTGAACGTCAACTTCAACATGTGACTGGTCAGCGTTCCAGCCTCTTCATAAAACAGTCTCATCACGATCGGACAGTACGTCAAGGCCTTTCCCTGGAGTGAGTCAAATACCAGACGTCTTCATGGCCCGGCCGGCGTGGCTCAGGGGCTGGGCATCGACCGAGGAACCAGGAGGTCAGGGTTCGATTCCCGGTCAGGGCACCGGCCCGGGTTGTGGGCTCGATCCCAGGTCGGGGGCGTGCAGGAGGCAGCCGATCCATGATTCTCTCTCGTCATTGATGTTGCTGTCTCTCTCTCCCTCTCCCTCCTCTCTGAAATAAAATATATGTATTAAAAATAAAGTATTTAGGGCTGAGGTGGGGGATTCCAGTGAGCACGTGCTCGGAAAAGAAGGGAGAACCAGCGTGATACACAAACGGGCACAGAACCTGACAGCTCTCCGTGAGTCTGCGCACAGATCTGTCCACAGTCACACACAGGCTCAGCTTTGGAGAAGACGTCACCTTAAAGAGAAGGCATTGCTGCTTGTCCCCGAACGTCACTTCCCAGGGAGAGCCGACCAGAAGGGACACCCGGGGTGCCCCCAGCGTGACGGGGAGAGCCAGCCACGGACCCAGCCGCGTCAGGCAGCCCGGTCGCCGCACCAGGTTACGTCCTCCCAGGAAGCGCCGGGATCTGACCAATAAGGTCCACTAGGACCTCTGACTCATCCTCCCTCTGCGTCTGCTCGGCACTTACCCGCGCCCCCAGCTCCGGGGCGTCCTCGCTGGGGCAGCCGTAGTAGTCGGGGGCTCTGTCTGCCTCCTGCACGTGCCCCTGGGCCTTCACGCTCTTGCCCGCGTGGCACGAGGGGCAGAGAGCAGCATTGCCCATCTCCCGGCACAGCTCTGGGTCAGTGGGCCCGTCCCCGC